TTTTTCCTCGTTCTCAGCACCTTATCAAATACTTGTTGATGGAGGAGCAAACATTGTGAAGATGAGATAGGTTTTACTATTCAGTGTCGGTGGATCGTAATTTCAACCGCTACACTAAGAACCGCCACCATGAATACACAGAGGGACTCCCTAATTCGGTTAATTCGGCAGTTGAGAGGTATTATAGTTTTCCCAGAGGACAGCCTTACAGACCCTTGATGTGTTTGCTTTAGTCGTATGCAGTCGGGTCGGAGTTCAGAGGATTAAGCCTAATCTAATTCTGTCAACAGCTCCAAATAATCACTCGCTTGACTGCTCTTCGAACTCTCATCTATTCCGTATAGAGGCCCAAGAATCCCATAGCAATGTTAAGGTACGCGTCCGCACGTAGGCATCAAACTCACAAAACTGATCTAAAAACGGATCTTAGAACTATTTGCATACATGATCCGCATCAGATAATTTTAAATGCACAGGGCGTGAGCACTACAATCGAACAAGCTTAGATAGGAGAATATTTCAACATACAAACAGATACGTAAGCAATGTTTCATAACTTTTGCCACAGTAAATACCACGTCAATCAGTAATATTAATACTTCTTAATTGAAATCACGATAAAATATGAGATATTCTGTTTTTTGATGGTATATACCATTTATTTATATCACGAACAAACATAAAAAGCTCTATAGTTTTTGAAAGTCGATCCAATGGCGACAAAGCTGGGGTAAGAAAGGTGAAAAATTACGTATATGAATATGCCCCCAGCCGCGGCAATCCTATGCACCTATTAGACATATTTCGCTCATCATTCATTTCCCCATACATTAACCCTTAAAACTTAGAATTACGAAGAATATTTCCGACCCTCGCGTGTCGCTGTTCGACTGGATGTGGAGTTGTAGAACGTCGGTCGTTATCCACGCCAGATGTACACATAGTTGCGTTCATGTGCGCCCGCAGGAATTTTTCTTAGAAGTAGGGGGAGGCCATCCATCGTCAAGACATGAAAGTGTCTGTCACAGCGTGCTTGCCTCCAAAAATTTTTAAAGAGCGAGTGACAGCATATTTTCTCAGGAAACCAAATCCTGAAGAGCCCCAGAATTGTATAGGAAGCTTACTAAATATGCAAATTTTAATTGTATGAGACTGTTTGACTTACTTTGCTACACATGTTAGTAGTTAACATTTTTTTCAGAAGTGCCACATTGTGTAGAAGATGATCATTTATGGCAAGGGCGGATTCAGGATTTCGTCTAGGGGGGCGCAAGCGATATTTGGGGCTGGTCATTTTTTAACCTCAGTGGAACTTCTAGAATGTATCCCATTATTGCTCCTTAAATCCATTGTGTTCTATCTGGTCAAGGCCAGCTTGAAAACGAAATATGTAATTTGCTCAGAAATCCTCAGAAAGCCAATATTTTATTATATGAGAACAAGATAAGTACGTGGCATTTATAATTGACTAGTGTAATAATATTGAATATTCAAACATAAAAAACTTCATTGCTATGTCAACCGACAAAAAATGAATAAAACATATCCCAGTCCATTCCACACAAAACAATGTCTTTCATTGCAAAAACGAACATCAGACCAAAAAATTCACATTACCGTATGGACGCTAGACAAGACAGAGAAGAATGTCTGTAGACCATCTATCTATAGATCGTGTCTTGAGACCGTCTCCTGACTGCCTATAGACAAATTGCGCAACGGGGTCTACTAGTATGTAATAAGCTTAAGGATTAAGACTCTGAACTGTCCATTAAACAAATCAAGTAAATGGTGCAAATACTGACACAATCAAGCACTTCTATTATATTAGCAGTATGAGGCATTATGTATTCCTCCATTCCAACGTGGATAATTTCGGTTATCGAAGAACAGACGCAAGGAAAGGTAGAGAAGAAGTCTCTGAGACCTCCCATTTGGCACATCCGTAATACCAAATTTTGGGGCCTGTGCGAGTTTCTGCTGAAACAGCGGGTTCTGACCGAGACCTGACCTCCACAACACAGTGGTCTGAGTTACCCAGGGGAGACAGGGCAGCAGAGCTGTAAGGGGCAGGATGCGTGCTTAGAAAGTGATCCAGCAGGATAATGGCATGAGACGAGACGCGGGCCAAAAAAAGTTGGGCCCGTCACCAGCTAGGTCAGCCCTTGAGTAAGAGCTGCATGACCTGCTGCATCGGTTTTATTTGAGCCTAATCAAAGCAAATTGTGGTCATTGAAATCACCGAGGAGAACTACCTCTGAAGCGGAGTGATTGGTGTTCAGGAAGTCGATCTTGACGGCGAGGTATTCAAGAAGGTCATCCCAGATATGGTCCGAGGGGAGTGATAAAGGCAGCAAATAAATTAGGGGGATGTTTTGCAGCAAGAAAAACTGCTGCAGACAAAGGCCACAACTCCCCCGTTATTTCTCAGATTGGAGTGCACCTCGTAATTTGGTAAGCTAAGATGGTTAATCGGTGCGGACTCTGAGACTTTTGTCTCCGCCAAGAAAAGCATGGCGGGACGATTGGATTGCAAGTAGTAATGTGATCAATGTTGCTGTTAATCCCGCAGATATTCGTGAAACAAATTTTATCTTCGATGTTGTTTCATCGAGTCCACCCGGACATTCCAAGAGTGGAGTTAGTTTACGTCCGGAATTCTTAGTACTCGAGGGATCCATCATCATTAATTTCTTTGTTTAGGAAGATAACCGACATAGCTTAGGTGTGGAAACATGCGGTCATTTATAAGACACGCTGGGAAAAGCTATAGTCTGGTACCGCCTCGGTCGACTGGTCCTTGTCTACCACCTCGTTTTTGCATATTAATGATATTAAATAGACCTCAAGTGGCCCGTTGCCTGACTTGTATCATCACCCGGCAATCAGTACTGAGGTATTCCTTAACGCGTGTACAATCACTTGTACGGGAAGAAGTTGTATGCTGGATACAACAACTTCCGGAACAAGCATTTGCCACGGCCCCGCTCAGTAGGGGTTGGGGTTTTCGAAATATACATGTTACAGTTATTTTTCAGACTTTCGTTGTCGAACTTAGATTTACGGCTTAGTTGTTTTCTCAGTTTTCGAGCCGGTGTTGATCGCATGTAGAAATGTTGGAAATCCTTGGAAAAAACTATATACATCTGTTAGATCATAATTATTTTAATATTGAATGTTTGTACTGAGTAGAGGAATACAGGGCTGTACATATTTATGTATAGTGCAGCAGCTCTGTGATTTAAACGAATTCACTATAGTAACATAAATAGACACCATACGCGAGAAGAGATGCGGGACGTTTGTTATTGATTTTGATCATCGATCGACGCAGTTTCTAGACAGGTCACAGGCATACCGCTAAATAAATATCATAAATATCTATTTCCAATTTAGGCGTTCATCTAACATAGTGCTTCGCTGCAACACCAGCCCCGAACAAAATTAGTCAAGCTTTACACACTTTTCAAATTACTATTGAGCAACAAACAGAACATAAATCACTTTTCAAGTGCAATCTGTAGGGCTAAATTATTACCCAGACTTAGATTTGTCACAAGTCACAATACTCGTATATACGTATAAATCGTAAGAGTTGTACTGTAAACAAGTGATGTCAAAGAGGGACGCATTTGGAATACCAAAGGATATCAAAAAATCATAATGCTCAGTTCCTATAGCTATAAATTATAGTTAGTATGCCTCTGTCACCATGACCTGACAGAAAGTAACACAATGGTGTTAGTTCCAAAAGCAAATGTCAGACGTCTAGGGGGGCGCGCGCCCCCTCTAAATCCGCCGGTGGTTTGTGATTGATAACAGCGTTGCGTAGGAAGTGCAAAGTCAACCTACTTGACGCCTTTTTTTTTATTCAAGTCTCTAAATCGCATGTGACCTGTGAAGTTTGTCGTCTTTCATCTAACAGTCACCTTTAATCGTTCTAAGGCCTCGTCATACATGAGTTTATTTAATGGAGATGAAGATCGATAAGCTATAGGTTAAGTTGAGAATTTATTTAAGAAATGCTTATGTAACGACTAAATTCGTCACGAGTATATATTGATGTTTATTTCCTATATGCTATTTGGACAAATAAACTATACTCAAAGTTAAAACGATATTTGATTGCCTCTCTTCTACATACTTGCCTACGGTTGTGTTTCATAAACACTATAACGACTCTCACTACTGGAGTCTTGGAAGCTTTAACAGATACGAATTCGGTTAAATGGAGGCAACGTTACCCATTTAGATAACTAAGGAAATAGCAGCAAAAGGACTGTTTTTCCAAAATCGTTTTTATTTTACTGATGTAGCGACTTTGTAAAGTAGAACTTTATGGGAAGCCCTCGTACGTCGACTGCGAATATACATCGGGAGGATTGACGGCGATATCAAGAACATCCGTCATACATCTAGAAGCATCGATCGACATCTAGTTAACGTTGATGAAGCGTTGGAATTCTCTAGATTGGCGAGCTTTTATATAATAGAAAAATCCAAGTATCACTGACGAGGTAATGTGTATGAAAAAAGCGCGAGAAGCGTGCAATTGGTATGTTAGAAACAGTGCGCAGATGGCAACGCTGCAAGTCGCTGCTATGTCCGTGGCCTCGTCACTCGGATTCCAAGGCAACGTTGTGATTCTATCTCTTTCTAACATACGCATTGCACGCTTCTTGTGCTTCTTTCTTGTACACAATAACGACATCCGTGGAATCTGGATTTCCCTGTATATGCGCCCCGACAATGGATTTTTCGATTCTAATTACAAAAGTTTATAATACGACAGATCGCTGGACGTAGCGTCATCGACACCGAGTGACTGGGTACATTTGCATTTTGGCGGCCATAAACGGATCTCTTAGTATGAACAGTGCGAAACGAAGCTCTGGGCGCGTACCTTTGGAAGCGTGTAGCTTTGGTCTCCACAGCTTTCCCGCGATAAACTGACAGCGTCCGAGATCATGAGGATGTAGAGCTATAAGAATAAGCTTTACCTGCCGTATTGTCGGCGCTAGCTCGCCTCTCTGTTGCAAGAGGTTCTTGAAAGGTAAGAGTGAGACTGCCCCTCGGACTTCTTTTTTCCAATTCTTCTACCATTAACGAGCCTCTTGCTATACTACCCCTTGGACTCGTTCGTTTTGACGTTTCACCTTCTAGCATCGTTTCTGGACAGATGCTTCCTCTTGGGCTCCTGTAACAAGAATAAAGGTGCACATTCATTGATGGTAAGAGAAGCAAGGAGGTGCCGTTAAACATAATCAAATAACAGCCAGACATGTGCAAATGATACGTGTCGCCGCCGTTCTTTTCGTGTCGGTTGTCCACAATACAATGTGAACGTTAAGTCTTCGGTAAAAGCTAATCTAATAAAAAATGTTACTAGAACGAAGCAGGACAAAATTCTTCCGCTAGAGCGAAGCAAGGTGACGTTTTGGCGCAAGATTGATTTGAGATACCACAGTAACTAAACGAAGTTTAAAACATCTCTTCGCGTCGCTTAGCTCTAGTGCAAATTTAGCCTAAAGGACCTTTAAGATCTCAGTTTATTTGCTTTGTAGCATCTCTTACCTATCTCCTTGATATTCTCCCGCGATGCTTCCCCTGGGACTTGTCCTCAGGGAGTGGCATTCAGGAGCTATACTGCCCCTTGGACTTCGTTGACTTATACCTGCTGTATCTGGTGTGATGCTATGTCTTGGGCTCCGACTTAGCACGGGCGCTGGAAGAAGATAAACAGTCAAATTGTGTGAATAATGAAAGGAAAGATTCTCCTAGAATAGGAAGACAGAATGAAAAAATATATTTCAATAGGTTTTTTGCAAGTCTATCTTCACAGTTTGCGGAACATAAATGGATTTTTAAAAGAAAATGCACTGATAGAATTATAGCTTTGAACGATTTTCATCTGACTGATAGTAGATAAATCTTTTTCTGACACTCATCTTGAAAATACCCCTTAAATGTCATTATCTAGGTGTTCAGATGTCTACCAAGGTATGCGCTCCCGTTACAGGTTTATGATGATGATTTGGACTTGAACTTTATTTAAAAAAATATTCTCTTAATGACGTTTTGGTTATGAATATAGTGAAATGGTTTAATCTCTGAGCTACTTAAATAAATTAACAATATTTCTGGGGCAAAATAGTTATTTATATATCTAGGGCCAAGTATCATAAACGTGCGATAAGTACAAAATTTCATCCATTACGGTTGCTGAAAATATATGAAATTCTCAATTCTAGTTGTTTCATATATGAATGTAGTAGAGCAATGTAGCCTCAGTATCCAAAATACCATCACATGATTCATATACAGAACTCATGAATTCTCCAATTTTATACATTTTCAGCAACATACTATTTTTTTTATTTATTATCTTGGTTGATGTAGCAACAGAACAACATGGGCTCTCATCATTATCGGTGAGTACATACCAATGTTACTTAACCAGTCTGGGACGTAAGAATCCTTTGGGCTGAAAAGTGAGATTTTACACTTGAAGAACCTACAAGTATAGCACCGTTGGGTCGTAAATAACGTATAATTAAAAGTAAGTCCTGGCCGAAAATAGAACTTTGATCGCGTAAGGTTTTAAGCAGAAAAGTTGAAAGGAACACCTTCCTTTCCAACTGTTAGGTTGGGGTATGTCAAGTCCCTTGTGATGGGGAGGCAAAGCCTGGCAACTGGTTATTATCCATTATTTGATCTTTCACCGAGACGGTCGAACAGGCCGAACATACACTGTAACAGAAACAATGGAACGACTTTGTATTTTTCCAGGTACGGTATTTTTTACAGCCTTGGATTAGTCCCACTTTCAAGGTTATTACAATATTTTTGCTTTTAAATAGAAAAAACCCTTCTTGAAGCATAGGTAACATTACCCGAAGCTTAGTAGGATTACTTATGAATACAATGTTAATTTTATTTTAATTTCGCACACATAAAATGCGCTTCGAACAGAACCACAATCCAGTCCAGCTTGTCTCGCTAATTATTGCGGTATTTTAATGATCAATTATATGTTATTGTGGCCAGCTTCGTGCATATTTAATGTTTTAATGTAAATTTGTAAGGCAAATATTTAAAAGTAGTGCCTACGACACTTAAAATTAAACTGCAGCATTGCTGGAATCTTATTATCTCAGATATAAATACGAGGGATGTCTTTTAAGTTTTGCATATAGAAACATAGTAGGCCGCGCGGATCGAACGTCAGTACTGAATCTTAACTTCACTCTTTAGTAAACTAAAATTCAAAGTTTCACAGCAATACGTGCAGTGTTCTCATTGCAGTGAATTTTTAAGTGTCACCAAGTCATTAGAAAGATGGAACTCAACCGAGAACATTTTCACGCCATAATTTATTACAACTTTGAGAGACAATTATCGCAACAAGAATGCCTTGCTGAGTTACTGTCTGTTTTCCGACATGAAGCGCCACATCAGTCGACAATTTCCCGTTGGTATGGAGAATGCAAACGTGGAAGGGTGAGTCTTAGCGACGATCCAGGGTGGGCGCACCAAAAACGGCAGAAAGCAGCCAGGGTTAATTGGTGTCAAAAAACGCTTGACCGTTTCAATCCGAAAACTCGAAAAATGTGTACAGCATTGTTAGTGGTGATGAATCGTGGATTTACTGTTATGAACCAGAAAACAAACGACAGTCGGCTGTTTGGATGTTCCAAGGTGAAGAAAAGCCAACAAAAGTCATCCGTTCTCGAAGTGTTTCGAAAAAGATGGTTTGCGACATTTGTGTCAAAAGTGGATCATATTGCAATAATTCCTCTTAATGAGCAAAGAACTGTTACTACGGATTGGTATACCACCATTTGTTTGCCAAAAGTCATCACCGAGCATCAAAAAATCAACCCCGAAAGAAGAATCATCTTTTCAAAGACAATGCAAGCTCGCACACAGCTCAAAAAACAAGGCAGTATTTAACGGAAGAAAATGTGTAATTATTGGACGATCCTCCATATAGTCCCGATCTAAGTCGTAACGATTTCTTTACTTTCCCGAAAATTAAAAACAGACTGCGTGGTCAAAGGTTCCAGTCACCAGAAGAATCAGTTGACGCATTCAAAGATGCCAGCAAACGAGTGGAATAAGTGCTTCGAAAATTGGTTCGAGCGCATGCAGATGTGTATTAGTCTTCGTGGAGAATACTTCGAAAAACGATAAAGTTATCTAAAACTACCTACCGTGTTGTTTTACTTCCGTATGCAAAACTTAAAAGACATCCCTCGTATATGATCGCTTACTAAAACGTCAGTGTGAATTTTTTGTTAAACGTGGTTATAGCAGATGCAGAAACGAGGAATTCTCAACATATTGCCCTATACGCGAGGATCAAGTTTCCTGTCAGCATGTTAATCTTAAGAAGATCCTTTTTTTACCCAATACACTAATTATACAGGTCCAAGATAAAGTGGAGAAATCCCTAAAAACGATAAATCATGATCTAGTATGTCCTTTATCTGACAATATCTTCATTTGCTCGTCGTTTCCGGCTGCGTTTGTTTTCGGATGATTTGTGTATTGGATTTCTGCTTGGACTTTTGCTTCTTGTTTGTTCTCTTTGTAACATACCGCTTGGGTATCACTTTAAAACGTAAATGGTGAATGTGCATTAATTACGCTTCAGAGGTACACCTTCACCAAAATCCATAATTGATAATCTGTAAATGCTTTCAAGTTCTATAGGTATTGTTGCCAGGGATACGTCCGCCACTGTCCCTCTTACATGTCAACGAGCTCCTTTCCTGTACCATCAACCAAATCCACAGCTTCGCTGATGACAGCACTCTAAATGCAGGGATTCAAAGTGACAAGCCGGTCTCTGGCGCAGAGCTGGGAAAAAGAAGACTAGCGACAACTGCCTCTGTGACGAGAGACCAGTGTCAATGTTTGGGGACGAGCCAATCTTGTACAGGTTAGTGCTTCAAAAAGACAGTACTGTACCTTGACGAACAAGAAGCGCTCATCCAGTTTCGATGGATGGCCGTGTTCTGCTGAAGAGCCTTTCATTTCGGCTGGTCGGAGTCCAGATTACCGAGGACTTGATCTGGCACGAACACATCTCGGCAATACCGGCAGCTGCTGGGAAAAAGCCAGGCTATTTGTTTAGTGCTCAGAAGTACTTTTGTCCGCATGACCTTCTTACTCTATACAAGGCTCAGATAAGTCCTAGCCTCGGGTATTGCTGACACGTGTGGGATGCTGCCGCTCCAACTACATTGTGTATGCTCGATGCTGTCCAGAGGAGGTCTGTCCGACTGATCGATGACTCTTCTCGAACAGACAGTCTCGGGAGCCTTTCGCATCGGCCAGCCGCCGGCGATCTAGCTCTCTTCTACCGCTACACCAACGGCCTTTGCTCGTCAGAGATCTCTTCCATGATGCCGCCACGCGATCTGCCTGACAGACAGACCCGTCTGACTTTGGCCTCCCGTCCTAACCGTGTTGAACTTCTTACATCCAGAACTGGCCGATACGACCGCTCCTTTGCCCGAGGAAGTCGAGATTGTGGGACAATCTACAAGAGGAAGCTCTTCCAGTTCTATGAACCTTAGGCAGTTCAAAAATAGGATTGAAAAAATTTCTTTGGGATCCTGATATCAGTCGCGGTGTACCGGGACTTAGCCTTCTGCCTGCGCGGCTGCTTCGGTAAAAAAAAATGCCCAAGAAAGTATTTTATCAAAGATCATTTAATCAACAACAGTCAAACGACCTGAATACTTTCTTCAGATAGACTTCAAGTGACCTTAAGACTATTTTTTATATATTATAATAGAAGTTTTTCTGTACAGCAATACAACCCGCCAACTGTTTATGCTCCATAGCTGTGGTCCCTGAAATGCTGCCAAGCATTCGTGTGCTTTCACATATTCTTTGCCTGTGACAAAAATTGAAACATACTTATAAAAGTATACAAGCAGGTAGTCGATCGCCAGCATTCAAGATCGTCGGATGCAATATCGGAAGTCGGTCACGTGTACAGGGTTATTCAGTATGTGACAAAGTCTTGCTGCGAGTCTGCCTGCAAAGAGGCGGGAAGTGGGGTGCCGATGCTTCGATGCCCTAATAAAGAGATTGAGCTAGTTTTGTTATTATAACATATCTGGATTCGACATATGTTGTTTGTTTTACAGGAAGCTCAAGTCGGAGTGTAACTGAAAGGAGATATGATAAATTTGATGTTTAGCTTTACTTCCCACACCAATAGTTACTAGGGAAAATTTATAAGATACGTGAAAACCATGAGCTATAGAAAAAACTTCGACATAGGCTCTTTTACCAGAGAGCTATTTTTTAAGTAGAAATATGTATCATGTAACGAAAACACGATTTTTACTGTCCAAAGTCCAATTTATTACTCTACACTAATTTATATCACCTGCAACTAATTTATAACAAATTTACAACTATATCGACTGGACTATAATTCGATCTTAACAGCACACTCGTTGACTGCTAGTCCGACTGTATCTATCGATTCGACTGTGTCTGCCGCGTTCCATTTTTGTTTATACTCCAACTATCACGAAGGCCTAAGGCCTAAGCACCCATTGGGCACCGTGGGGCTATAGGGGGATACATGGGAAAGGGGGAACGCCACACGGACTCTGGCGAGGGAACACGTGTGCATGCAACATGCACACATTCTGGCTCCGCCTACGAGATCCGCCGGGTGGTACCTCCGCGTTCGACAGT